CTCTCATAATTTGGTGTCAGCTTTTATGTTTTCCGCTAAGTCCAAGTTAATGCCCCTTACATATAATGGATTTTTAGCCAGATTAAAACAGTCTTTAAAATCTCTGGGATATGACAGTTCTAAGTACTCCGGGCACAGTTTTCGTAGAGGCGGGGCAACATTTGCATTAGAATGTGGCGTCCCTTCTGAAATTATTCAGTCACAGGGGGATTGGAAGAGTGATGCATACAAAAATTATTTAGATCCTTCTTTCACTCACCGACAGACTGTTATGAATGTCTTTGCAAAAGCACTTCCCAAAATGGTCTAAAATGGTTTTCTAATTGTAAAATTTTTCAATATCATTGTGATCATATTTTTCTATGTACAAATATATATATATATACTATTCCCCTACCACTAAATACAGGTTTGGATTTCTATTTTGGAGAACCACAGTTTTTATTACACAGCATTTATCTTTTGTATTCATGCATTACATACATTTTGTATTTGCCTTAATTCATTTAGCTATGTTCAATTATTGTATAATTGAAATAATTACATGCATACTTAATAAACTGTGGTTAGTCTTCCCAAACCTGTCTTTGTTTGAAATATAACCAACACTGCCTTATGTTCTATTTGGCCGCTGAATCCTTCTTGTGTATCCAAACTTGATTTGGGACGTTATATAAGTCATGCCATATCAAGCGTTGGCAGGGAGGCTGAAAAGAGGCAGTGTTTAGCACCATTGGCAAAGGGGGGAAGGGTGGGTCTCTATTTTCATAACATAAGATTAATAAATAAAACATTAGTTCAGGTCAAACTTATATTATATTATACACTAACTGCTAGTCCAACCGTCTGTTGAGGAACTGTACGGTGGTAAACTTCTACTGCACTGTACTTCTAGAAGATAGGCAGATACTCCTAGTTCCTCCAGTAGCTTAGCAAGCAGTAGCCCTTTCACCTGTCCTAGTATACTGTTGTCTGCTTTAAACTTTGCCAATGAAAAATCTATATGAAAAGAAATTGGAAAAAGGGTACTACAGTAACTGTTTCAATTCTCTGACTGGCTATGAATGTTAATGCAAAATAAATAATACCCTTAAAGCAGAACTTTACTACTTGATTTTTATACTGTTGCCTTTTTCGTATTAACAAAACCATCTTATCAATTTCTATTTTAATAGATTATTTGCGGTTTTAATAATACAGCAGTCCAGATTGAAATTATGAGTAAATGACCAATAGAGATCACATTATATATAAGTCAATTTCTAATTGAACATTTGAAATATGCTTCTGAAAAATGAAGACTGCATGTTGACTTTTAAATGTCTTTTGAATATATGTTCTTGCTGAGCTGCTGTCTCATAGATGCATCCATCTCCTACAGCTCCATTTATTCATATTCTATCTTTTCAAATACAAAATATTACTACATGTTCGACACCTTAGACCTAAAATGTATACCTGGAATCTTAAATCCAGAATTTGTCCAGTCACATGCTAGTTTTGGGAGTTTTAAATTGTCAAATATTGAAGTTGACAGCAAACAAGCACCATTAGGTTCCAAACATACACTCAATTTCAAGTTCAAAAGATACTTCTTTTCCCCTTGCAGATCATGGACAGAAAACCTGAAAATCAACAGCTTTGAATAAGTTTCCAACCAAAATATATTAGGAAGTGTATCAGGCTTTGCACATTTAAAAGAAGATCCTAATTAGTGTTTTTTTCTTTTATAAAAAAAATATGTAGATTTTATCCTGGCACTGTTAGGTTGATGGTTATGGCAGCTTAAGGACCCTGCATCAAACATTTAACATCACCAATCTAAAAATTGACTTAAAAGGGAACTGGCTTAGGACAAAGTCATAATTATTTGTTCATTTAACAATGCTTTTTATGTGCACCAGAAAAGTTTACATTGAATTTAAAACATTGTAATTCTTTACTAATATAAAAAAAAAATGTGGATAGTGTCCACATGTGGACACAGATCATGCCCCCGCTTGCATATCATATAGTTATAAAGGGACGCTACCCAAATTTGAACTTGATCTGAGTTTTGTGGTAATAAGCATTGTGTGTAAGTCTCATAACATTTGGTTGAGGCTAACTTAAGTAGAGAACAGAAACTAAAAATTCAGCAATTTTTCTAATTGTAAATACGCATAACTCTAGAACGGTTGTGTATAAGTTTCTTTTATGTTTATAAAGGGACATAACTCAAGAATGGTAAAAGTGTCTCCACCAAATTTCATACTTAATCTGTATTTTGTAGTAATAAGCATTGTGTATAAGTTTCATAACATTTGGTTGAGGCAAACTAAAGTTAGAAAACGGAAACAAAAAATTTGTACTTGATCTTAGTTTTGTGGTAATGAATATTGTGTATTGGTTTCATAATGTTTGGTTGGGGCAAACTTAAGTTACAGAATGGAAACTAAAAATTTTGCAATCTTTCGATTTATAAAGGGGCATAACTCAATAATGGTTTAAGTGACACTACCCAAATTCAACTTGATCTGTGTTTGAATCAGTGGAAGTCAAAATAAAACATTGTATAAAGCATTGATTGTAGTTGATTCAACTATAATCATGGACAAAGGAAGATAACTTCAATTTTAAAAATTACTTGATATTTAGAAGAAAATAAATATTTTGCAATTTTTCCATTTATAAAGGGGCATAACTCTAGAACGGTTAAAGTGATGCCACCAAAATTCAAAGTTGATCTGTGTTTTGTGGTAATAAGCATTGTGTATAAGTTTCATAACATTTGGTTGAGGCAAACTTAAGTAAGAGAACGGAAACTAAAATTTTTGCAATTTTTCCATTTATAAAGGGGCATAACTCTAGAACGGTTATAGTGACGCCACCAAAATTCAAACTTGATCTGTGTTTTGTGGTAATTAGCATTGTGTATAAGTTTCATAACATTTGGTTGAGGCAAACTCAAGTTAGAGAACGGAAACCAATTTTGGGACGTACGTACGTACAGACGGACAAGGGTAAAACTTAATGCACCCACCGCTACAGCAGTGGCATAAAAAATTACTATGATATATTAACAGTAATGATGGTAATGATAGTATATATATATAGGGTTCAACTCTGTTTGGCTATAGAAAACCCAAATATCAACCTGATCCCAAATAAAATGTAGTGTGCATCTCTTCACTTCCTTGAAGACTTTTGGTAAGTTCACTTAATTTTGAAGCAAAAAAAAACAATCAAGTCAAGGCATAATAATGACTGTAAGAGAATTCTGTATAATCTACATACAGTAACATGTTTTTAATAGAGCTTATTCTTTTATAAGTACAGACTAAAATTATGGCAGGTGAATTGAAAAAAAAGTCAGAAGCTTATATAAACTTCAAACCATGGAGGTGATCCAGACCAACCATTCCTCTGTTACACTCTGCAGTTATGATAAAACAGAAGATGACAGATGCAACAGCTCAACCCAGCCTTTTAAGCCAATAGAGCTAATATTTTTTCATATATCTGCAAATGTCAGCAAATTCTTACCTTATCTTAACAACATTCAACAAACTAAATGTTTCTTCAGTTCCTGAAAGAACCATTCAAATTGTCAATCATAAAATCAAACTGAAAATCATACAAATAAGTTATTATTCATTACTTTATACTTTAGATTTAAGGATGTATTGTTCTGATGTTTCAGTCTTCTTGAAATCTGGTTCATGAATTATTTCTAAAACATGTGATACAAGTGGAAAATATCAATGAATTTAAAAAATATAATTTTATAACCAACCCAGTCAGTGTCATCAGCTGAAATGTTAAGAAAATGGGTGAGGAGTACAAAGAAATGATTTTTACCAAAAATATGTACATCCCATATCAATTTTTTCTTTTCAAATTCTTAGATATGTATTTTTGCAATTATTTATAACAAAGAAGGTGAAGTAATATGCTTTTTGTTCTAAAAAATAAGAGAAAAAACCCAAATTTACAAAATTGACAGTATGGTCAATTAGACAAGAAAAAGCAACAAAATTTTATAAACTTTTCTAATATCAACACCAATCTATAGTTTTTTTAATTCAATTTAATCAGATTGGTCCACTTCATCTATAGTGAAAGTAAGAAAAAAGGTTTAATTGTGAAACTGCGATTTGTTTTTTTAATAGCCCAAAATGGGTAAAAATTTATGAAAAATAACTTGCAAATGGCCGTAGCCAAAAAAGAAGTACACCACCATATGATTTTTTCTTTAACAATTACTATCTTAGTCATATAAACCAAAAAATCAAGTTAAGAAAAAAAGTTTAATTCTAGAAATTTTGGGGTCCTCTGAGGTGTACATCCTTTCATAAACATCTGCGACTCATTTCACAAAAATTCTTATGAAAAAAATACTGGCAAAAAGTCCTGAACATTATCAGTATAACAATCAATTATTGTCGCAAGATTTTTTGTGAAAAGAGCCCCAGAGAGTAGATAAAATCCTTTTTTTATCTGTCAATCATTCAGGTACTTTCCCACTTATACTTTAACCAGTTTCATACTTGCAAAGTACACGAATATTCCAGTCACACATTCTTGTTTAGTTCAATCTTTATATGCATTTGTTTATTGAATAAAATATTCTCTTTCAGTCCTATCAATTTCTAGGAGTGTTTAAGAACATGATGGAGCTAATTAGTGATCGTTGGTTTTTTCTTTAGCTTTCCTGTACTTTCACATATAGGACGTGTACCATAACAAAATATCCTTTTTGTGTATATATGGTGATTTGCTGATAGTGATTTGTATCGACTAAACAGAGATGATTTCTATCTAATACTATTTTGTATTTGAATCATAAAGCCTTCAACTTATCTGATTCAAAAATTAATTTTTTTCCCTAGCCTTTTAAGTGTATCTGAAAGAAATGAATTAAACAATACATAATATAATAATTTTATGAATTTGTTCAGCAGTAAGACGATTATCAATTTCACACTAGTTCTATTTCAAATTACAGAACTTACCCCATTTGTAATTAATCAAGGTAAATTCAAAATGCCTTTTCTCAATTCCAAAAGACAATTTTAAATTGCAGCCATCAATATCTGCGTACACTGTGAATGATTTTCTAATTTTTCCAACTTCAACACAACAATGAACTCCTGTGCAGTAATCTGGTAGTGTACAGCTTATGGTACTTTGTATTTTTGGTAAAGATATATTGACAGGACAAGCTGTAAGAAAAATACTCGATTAGTATATGCCATGCTCACAATTAAGATGAAGATCAATCTTTGTACCAGTTCAGTCAACAGTTTGAAACGATTAATTTATAAACTGGTACAGTAAATATTAATACAGGACACCTAACTATACAAAGCTCTGCCTGTCCATCTTGTGTTTGGTTTTTACATGTACAAAGATCAGGCATTCATCAAATATATTTTCCTTGATTATTTAATTTTCAATCGCCATCTAAAACGTACACAAACTAAAGGCGCTTAAGAACCTGTGTCGCTCACCTGCATTTTCAACATTGGCCACTTTTTGGTAAAAATCATCATGAAAGAGCAATAATGAGTCCTCTGACGATTTCAGCCATTTAACTTTTTTGCGGTCTCTAAAAACACCGCAAAGGACCTCCTTTGTGCACAAAGGAGCACAAAGGACCACAAAGGAGTATGATAAGTGCACAAAGGACCTGAAATTGTTTATTAAATGGGGGGAAAGGCATTTCTCACGAAAAAAATATTAATTTTTATTAAAATACTCGAGTTAAATCGGTATAAAGTTGAAGATTTACGAAACCGTGTTCCGTAACCGGTACGATTATGCATAAGATTACGGCCATTTTTCGATAAGATGTTAGTATACCTATAATTATATATTGAAAAGTATTGAGAAAACATGAACATATAAATAAAGACTGGACATTAAACCGGAGAGAAAAAATTAAGCTAACACTGTTTGTAAAGATTTCAATGTTCCAATTAACAAGCTACTTAGCGTAGATGATTCTTTATACGGTATTTATTTCTTTTAGTATAATTATTTTAATAGTTAACCATATGCAAAATATCTACTTGCAATTGCAAAAAGTCTAAATTTTGATATTGCGAATGTTAAAATTTTGAAATGATATATGATTTTTTCAATTATATATATAACCATTTATGTATGAACATATACATAGCAGAAAGTAAATTTCAGAAACTATTTGTTAAAATAATTAATTACATTTCAATATCCAATTTTTATTTCAAATTTTGATTATCCATTAATCAGGTGGATAAAATACAAATAAATGAATTGAGAAGATGTATATATGTCAGTAACAAGCAACCCAACGACACAAATAACCAAGCTCTACAGACTTTTCTTCATTGTGCTGTGTATACATTTTTGTTCTGATTAAGATTCGTCAAGTAAGAAAATTTCAGTAAATACTTTTTTTTTGTGCAGAATAAAATTTGATAAAACAAAGAATATATTGAAATTTCTGAAAAACGGATTCAAAAAATTCAACCCCATTTCCTATCTTTAGAATTACTGCCATACCGTTCCCTTTCGTCATAGAAATATATTATTTGTCAAGTAAGAAAATTTCGGTAAATACTTTGTTTTTGTGCAGAATAAAATTTGATAAAACAAAGTATATATTGAAATTTCTGAAAAATAGATTGAAAAATATTCAACCCCATTTCCTATCTTTAGAATTACTGCCATACCGTTCCCTTTCGTCATAGAAATATATTATTCGTCAAGTAAGAAAATTTCGGTAAATACTTAGTTTTTGTGCAGAATAAAAATTTGATAAAACAAAGTGTATATTGAAATTTCTGAAAAACGGATTGAAAAAATTCAACCCCATTTCCTATCTTTAGAATTACTGCCATACCGTTCCCTTTCGTCATAGAAATATATTATTTGTCACGTGAGAAAATTTCGGTAAATACTTTGTTTTTGTGCAGAATAAAAATTTTGTAAAACAAAGTATATATTTGTTTTCTCGAATGGCGGTTGCTTGTTCTATTCAGTGTCAGTGTCATTGTGCGGAACACAAGAATTTTCAACAGATTGCATGTTTGTACAGCCATAGAAATGATAAGACTAAAAAGCTGTATCATGTCTTTACTCGTAACTCCAAGTTTGATGACCTTATCATCCAACTATGTTGCCTCGGTGTTTTCTTGTGCGTCTCCAGGGGGTTACTCATCAATATGGACAATATTTGCTTTGGCAAATGTTATTGGTGTGCCCATAAAATCAGTGTATCCACCTATAAACGGCATTAACGATCGTCCTTTTAAAATTTTAAACTTGACTGTCATGCCACAAAAGCCAACAATAGATACTGATACTTTGACAGTTATGTGGACATGTCTTCAAGGCTATCAAACTAAACACAACTGGTATGCTGACCACTTTGTTCCGCTCCTCAAAACTCTAACAACGACAAGTATAAACTATCGGATTGATTCACCGTCGCCTCCTTCTCTTAATAGCACTACAGATTTTCCACCACTCGGTTCATCTGCTCCGAAAAGACGACGAATCCAACGTGACCCATTGTCATCACCAACACCAACTTCGCCAATGTCTGTTCAGGCGTCATCTCCTCCAAGTGCCGTCAAAAGCACACCTTGGAAGTTATTGTTATCACCTTTACCAAACTTATCACCTATACCAGGTTCTACAACAAAAGCAAATACCATGCAAACATCAACACCAACCCATTCTGCTTCTACATTATCGACTCAAACTGCAAACTCATCTGTGCAACAGTCATCTAACAGTCTTACAAATGGCAAAAATCTAACAGTAAATGACTTGTATCATGCAATTATCGATGTTAACACAACTCCATTGGCAAGTATCCCAAAAGACCAGAAAGACAATTCAGACAATGTAAAACGCAAATTAAATGGTCAGCCTTCTCAGTACTCTGATGACTGTGGTGCCTGGGACAGTCATGGTGGTCATACAGTGAACACTATTTTTGTTGTGCAATCTAATAACACTCTTCGCATTGCTTTTGTTAAAGAGGGACTATACTGCTACAAGAAACAAGTGAAAGGCAAAAAAACATACGTGCCTTACAATCCTCAACCAGATCCAGACTCTGTTTTAACACTTAACCGTTACTACATCCCTCTTAAAAGGGACAAAACTTTCAAGAAACGAGTCAGTGCATTTAACAAACTACCATCAACATTTCAGAATCGCCAACATATAGCCGTTGTCGAGTATACAGGCTCATGTCCAACTACCAACACAACACATGGTAATGCCAAACACGTCTCACATGAGTTTATATGTACAGACCCTTCAATAATGAATCGTATAAACGAGGGACTCAATAATAAGAAATCCTGCATCGAAATGTATCAGGACGGGGTTCTTAAAGACCCTGATAACGCACCGAAAGATCTTCAACAAGTCCATACAAAAAAACATTACAACAAAAAACAGGTTTCCCATGCTGCCAAAGCCAACATAGACGATGAAGTGCTACAAATTTTGTCAATGGTAAATGATCATGACTTTGTGAAAGAGGTTGTATATACACAGGATAACAGTAAGCCACCATCCATCATATGTTACACGTCTGAGCAGATAGCTGACATTAAAACACACTTGCAAGCTGATCCTAGTACAGTCCTTGGTGTTGACAGAACTTTCAATTTAGGTTCAGTTTTTGTGACAAACTTTTATAAAAACAAAAAGGTCATTTCGAAGTCAACTCGTGACCATCCAATATTCATTGGGCCAGTGTTTTTCCATTGGGACGGTTCCATGGAGACTTACCACACTTTCTTTTCACACTTCAAAGCTCAGATACTAACGGAAGTGCAATGTTTCGACGTCAAACTTGGTAGCGACGATGAAGGTGGTTTGATAGTTGCATAAGACAGCGTTTTTTCAAAGCCGGACAGCACATAAAAGACAATGTAACAGATTACATAAAAAACAAGCTGCCTCTAACAACTAATCAAAGATCGCAGATTATGTCCGACATTTTTAATGACAATGGCATAGCAACAGCTGATGACACCGACACCAAGTCCAATGAACTTTGAAACAGCTTTCCGTGTTTTGCCAATTATTATGAGATAAGACTTAAAAACAGCTTGTTCAATTATGTTAATCAACCCTATCGCAAATATGACTCTAACAGACTCTGGACAAACAATAACTGTTAGTCCATGAACCACCGGTTTAAGGTAGCACTGAACTGGAAACCTCATCAATTACCAGAACTTTTAGATAAAATTTACAATGTGATACAACTTCACCACATAGATTTAAGACGCAGTATAATTGGCAACGGCAATTATGAACTTTTTGGAAATTTCAAGAAACACAGAATACAACATTCCAAATGGCACAGTCTTTCCCAAATTGAAAAAGAAGTGCTTTACAGAAAGCTTGCCAGTGTCAAAAAGTTTAGTGACAATATGTTAAGAGCGGCAAATGGTTTTGCGATACCGAAGGTTAAATGTCTCGCCAAGTAGCCTGGTCAACGTCACCGGCCAAGGACAGCTGCAGTGAGGACAAAACCAAAATTTTAAATGTTATTGTTAAATCATATGTATTTATTTATCATGTTTGTTTTATCTTAATAAATCATAATTGGAAATATAAAGTTTTGACTTTTTTGTTATAATGCAAGTATTCTTATACTTCACTTAAAAATATTATCATACGTAAGAAAACAAAGTGATGATATATGAGACAACAAAAAACAACAACAACACATTGCTATCCTATATAATTTTCGAAGTTTTGGTAATGCTTTACCCTTGAAAAATTACAACAATAAAATATCAAGAATAATAATTGACATTTTTATCATTTATGTTAATATATTTAAACTATTTAAAAATTCACATACACGAACTATCACTTAACCCGGATATAAAGTCGGTTCCAAACCGATACCAGTGATAACTAAAAATCGTACATTATTAAAATCTCAATTTTTATTGAAATTGATTTTTTTTTTTTTACATTTTTCTTCATGAATTATAATATTTTTATGTTTTGAAATGAATTTCAGGTCCTTTTTGCTCATATCAAACTCCTTTGTGCTCCTTTGTGCACAAAGGAGGTCCTTTGCGGTGTTTTTAGAGACCCACTTTTTTGTAGATCTTGTCTTTCTGACAATTTTTCCTAATAAAAGTTTCTCTCTATCTATTATAGTTTTCAAAATAATAGGCAAAAATGAAGAAAAAAAGGTAAAGTTTGACATTAAGAGCAGTTACTCTTATGAAAAAATTTGACAGTTTTGACATAAATGGACAGCAGTTAGATCTAAAGCTTCGAAACAATTCTGCCCCCAGTCATAATTTCTCTATTCAGAGCGGTTTTCAAGATAATAGAAAAAACTTATGTTCTATTATTAGCAATGTCGACCATGTTGGTTTGCAGGCTGGGTCATCTGACTCATCAGACACATAGTACCCAAATAATGATTGTGGCTAAGTTAAATTAAATTTTGCCTAGTAATTTGAGAGAAGATTTTTGTAATATATTAGGCAAAAACAAATGATATTGATAAAAATCATCATTGTCCTCTTCTAGAAAAGGAGTCATCTGACTATTTCAACAAAGTTGACTTATTGGTAGATTCTTGCAGATAATTTTTGTTTTTCAAGTTTCTATCCATCTTTTAAAGATTTCAAGATAAAAGGCAATTAAAGAACCTTAGTGAGCCCGCTCACATACCCCACGTCCTCACATTGTCATTGGAGAAATAAAAAATGTGTAAGAAAAAAAAATTGAATCATAATATCCTGTCAATATGCACATCTACATAGTATGTCCTTATTATCTACAAAGTTTCATGAAATTATGTTGTGTGGTTTCAGAGGAGTTGCGATGAAAAACTGTTGCAGAAGACATTGAAGCAAATAAGTTCAAAGGGGCGTAACTCCTAGAAAAAATATTGAATCATAATTTCCTGTCGATATGCACATCTACATAGTATGACCTTATTATCTACAAAGTTTCATGAAATTCTGTTGTGTGGTTTCAGAGGAGTTGTGATGACAAACTGTTGCAGTAGTACATTGAAGCAAATAAGTTCAAAGGGGTGTAACTCCTAGAAAAAAAATTGAACCGTAATTTCCTGTCGATATGCACATCTACATAGTATGTCCTTATTATCTAAAAAGGTTTCATGAAATTCTGTTGTGTGGTATCAGAGGAGTTGCGATGACAAACTGTTGCATAGTACATTGAAGCAAATAATTTCAAAGGGGCGTAACTCCTAGAAAAAAAATTGAACCGTAATTTCCTGTCGATATGCACATCTATATAGTATGTCCTTATTATCTAAAAAGGTTTCATGAAATTCTGTTGTGTGGTATCAGAGGAGTTGCGATGACAAACAGTTGCATAGTACATTGAAGCAAATAAGTTCAAAGGGACGTAACTCCTAGAAAAAAAATTGAACCGTAATTTCCTGTCGATATGCACATCTACATAGTATGTCCTTATTATCTAAAAAGGTTTCATGAAATTCTGTTGTGTGTCTATCAGAGGAGTTGCGATGACAAACTGTTGCAGTAGTACATTAAAGTAAATAAGTTCAAAGGTGCGTAACTCCTAGAAAAAAAATTGAATCGTAATTTCCTGTCGATATGCACAACTACATAGTATGTCCTTATTATCTAAAAAGGTTTCGTGAAATTCTGTTGTGTGGTTTGAGAGGAGTTGCGATGACAAGAAACAGGACTGACAGACTGACGGACTGACGGACGGACAGACGGACAGACGGACGGACAGACGGACAGACGGATTGGTCAAAAACATTATACCCTCCGCAACTCGTTGCATGGGGTATAATAAAGAGCTGTGCCATGAGTTCATGATACTCCCATAGTCAACTGGACAGTTTTCAACTAATAAAGTTCCATAACTCCACAATGTCATATCAGAAATCTAAAAAAAAATTAAAAGGGAGCTTATTTCAATAGATAAAAACAAAACACCAAAGTTTCATTAAAATTGTTCAAAGCATTTTTGAGTTATAGTCAGAAAACTGGAAAATCCCACATTTTTTATGAATAAAATTCCATAACTTAGAAACGTAAAATCTAAAATTTATAAGAATCCAAAGGGAGCTTACCACAATAGAAAGTTTCATGAAAATTGGTGAAAGCCTTTTTGAGTTATTGTCAGACATGTAGACAATGGATGGACGGCCAAATAGACAGAGGTATACCATAATACATCCTGTAAAAAATGAAAAAATATGGTAAAATTTGTCTTTTAAGGGCAATAACGCCTTAATGAAGTCGTCAGGATAGTTTCAATGAGATGGGCCTGGAGCTGGAAATTGCGACATATATTGTTGTTAACTGTTTTAAACATGACATCAGTTACAAGCAGTTTGTGCAATCCCTGCAAAGAATGTCTAATTAAATGGTTTATATTTTACTTGGGACTTATTGTTAGTGTTTCTCTCCATCTTCATTCAAACTTTTGAACGAATTGCAAACTGTATTGGTCAAATATATCATTATGAGCACCCACGATGTCTTGCAAAAATATAAAACAGTTACCTGTGGTGTTCCAACCATCAACTGCATCTTTATATGGTATTTCATTCCTATCACATGGTACTTCATTCAGAAAAGGCTTTAAACCCAAATATTCCATCAATTCATTTGCAAGTGCTGATGTTAAACTTTGTCCAATTCCTAAACCTTTGTTTCCCATCCAATCAAACAAGGATATATCTTCAAAATGAAAAGAATATTGATTATATTTTCATGTTTTTTTCCTTTCAAACTCTGCACTGTAATCAATTTTGTGAGGATTTAAGAAATGCATTGTGATGACCTTAGGGCAGAATGTTAGTTGTTATCTAATATATATTTAACTTACATACTGTATACTGTCACACACTGCATTTTTTGGTACAATGTCAAATCTATAATCTATTCCTTTTTCGCAATTCAATTCTATAACTTGACTGATTTCAATCATTACAATATATATGCAAGTTTTCATCTATTTCAATGAGTCAATAAAAAATATGAAACAGTTTAAAGCTTTTATAATTGACTAAAGCAATAGTGAGCTAGTATCCATTCTTTGCATCCCTTATAACTATTCCTAATCTACCAGTCTGTTATCATTTATTGCAAAATATTACTTACTCTATGATTTTAAATTAGTAAAATGATGGGTGCCACTGGCAGCAAGGTACACCTTACCGTTCGGAGAACCAATGTTTTTTAAGTGTGGTTTGTGTTCCTGAATGTTTTCCTTGTAATGTTTTAAGGACTGTTGTCTTTCTTTTCATCTTCTTTTTTTTACTTTCTTTTAGAAATGGGATTTTTCTACACCATATGATTTCTTATTATCCATTGGTATCTTATTATTTTTTAATACCTACTTGGTGATTTGAAGTCCATTTCCATATCACATAGAGGCTGTGGTATCAGTTGTTCTTTGAAGATTGTTAGTGTTGGTTTACATAAATTTTTCTCAAGGCAAATACTGAAGTTCAAATCTACTATAAACTTCTTCTGGTCAGTCAGCTTTTCAATTTTGAATCTGTAAGTAGTATATGTCATGAGGCAAAAAGTAAAGGCACTTTCAATATAAGTATTGGAGATATGTGTGCAAACAGAAAGTAGCTACATGACAAATCTGAAAGTGCTCACACTTTATAACTCATCTCTTTCATTGCAAGGTCTGGTTGTATTCTCATTTTTTCTAAAAATTTCTAATGATGAAAGAAAAGATAAGACAGTGAACATAGTAATAAAACAAATCAGACATTTGGACAGAATATACTGAAAATAAATAAATATATAAATCTCTTACTTTATTCTGAAAATTTCCTGTAATCTTTCTTCCTTGACGTCACCTTAATAAAACATAACAAGAGCTAAAATCAAATTAAAATGACACCATTAATTTCAACATTAATCATGCATAAGTGCACCATGACAACTACAGTAACGTTTCCATTGAAGACATAATTCACACTAATATGCAAGGAAAAATAGTAAGGAACTATCAGCTTTTCAATAAGTTTTGGATTTCAAATATTCTGGCCTCGAGGCGCAACTGGTGCAGGTAAAATTGGCACCATGAATGTCTTTTCAACAATTTAAATAAAAGATCCCCATTTGAATAGCTAACATTCAATAGTGGATAGCCACACAATACCATAAAATCAGGTTCTGTTATATAGCTCCCTTAAGGTGACTAATGTACAAACATCCTCTATATGACTTACCCCAAGTATAATCAAAGAAATTTATTTCAAACTTTAGTGTTTCTATCCTGCCTCTTATCTGGTAATTACAGGTATCTATGTATAGGTTTATGTTTAGTGACAAATCCAGGTAGTCAAAGTTGTAACAACAATCTATTCCTGTACAGTAATCTGGTATATAACAGACAAGGGACTCTGGCAATTCTGGTAACCCTGTAATTGCTGGACAATCTGTTTAAAAAAATAAAAAATATAAGGGAAATAATGACAGCAATTTTATCATCCATCAATTTTTTCTATTACTTTTTGGTTTTTTGTTTCCCTTCCTCCTTTCTATGTAAAAAAAAAATCAGTACCAGTACATTGCTAATCTTCATCATAAGTAGAAATGGCCAATGCAATGTTTTTCAAAAGGAAACAAAAAAAAATCTTTGTTAAGTTTCATTCATTATTAAACTGAAGGAGTTTTCATATTGACGAAGTTTGATGACTACCAGTCAGAGACAGACAGGATACAAACAATATTAAGAGACATTCTGTTCAATTCATCATTTTTTATGGATATTCCAACTTTTGAGTCAATCTTTCTTAATGATTATCATATTTCAGATTAAACGTATGTAAATGGTTTATGGATTGATGAATACTTTACCTTCAGCAGATATTTTTAAACAAGAAGTTGAAGAATTATGTTAATGCAATGAAATCAACTACAATGCTCAAGAATTTGAGTCTTTCTTTTTATAATTTTCTAGACGAGCATTACTATTTAGATTTGTTTATTTACAATTTTTTTTAAATGTAAGTGGTTTATGTTGTATTTTAATATTTTGAAAACAATTTACTTATGTTACCAATATTATTTGACAGAAATAATTCAAACTATTGTAATATCACTTAAAAAATAGGTTTTTCCATGTTGATTTTTATCCCTTTTGAAAATCAACAAGAAAACCATGCCACTATATCATGATGAAATCATATATGAAAATATCACATTAAATTATCATTTATATATATGATAACTCAATAATTTGTACTGTATTTGGCCTTTTTAACTTTTAGATTCTAGCGTCCCTGATGAGTCTTTTCTAGACGATATGTGCCTTTGATGTACAAAATTTTAATCCTAGTATCTATGATAGGTTTATATACTATACCATTTTTCCAGCCATTTGAAGAACTGGAATACAAATCGTCTCCATGACTGCATGGTGGAGACTTCAATCGAGTATCTAGTCCGAGCTGTTGTAGCAAAAGTCTGATGTAAGACGACTGCATCAAACCTGTGGTATTAACTCCCAAGTTGTCCGCCCAATCCGTTAAAGAAAAGTCTGATAAAAAATATGAATTATTATTTAGGGTTAAACAATCCACAAAAAAGCAAAACAGGATACAACTGAATATGATTTCATTATATGAAAAAAATGCGATACTATCATATTTATCACGGAGTACTACGTAGTTTTAGCAGTGTGGGACTATACAGTTTAGGAAGCAAGTTATAGCTACCACTCAAGTCAATCACTGAGGAATTCAAGATGACCAAGGTTAGACAACATCTGATGTTAAAAAACAGCAGGGATGAGAAAGTATGGTCGCAAAAGTAGAAATAAGAACAGGAAGGAAGTGGTCGACAAAGAAGACAATAGAAGATGCTGAGTCACGATTAAAACACAGTGAGATAGTTGGCAGAGTTGCAGTTGGAAGACAGGGGCTGGATGTAACACCTACAGCAAAATGGAGAACAGCAATAGTGGAAAAAAAAAGACACCTTGTACAGAAAGAGGTACGATAAATGGAAGAAGAAAGTAGAATGGTAAAGGCAGTGAGTATGAAGAAACAAGGAAGCTGATTAAACTAGGAAGGAGCAAGGCAGCTGAAGTTAGGATGGAATGAGATCTGGAAGATGGAGCCACATAGGTTGCAATTCAAGCTGAAGTCAGTATATGATGTATTGCCAAGCCCAACAAATCTAGCAACATGGGGATTGATAGATGACCCAAAGTGTGTTCTTAGCAGTAAGCCAGCAAACTTGGAGCATATACTATCTTCATGCTCGAGTGCTTTGAAAAACGGGAGGTACACATGGTGACACGACAAGGTATAAGGGAAACTAGCAGACACCCTAGAGAGAAACATCAGGAAGCCAAGAAAGAACAAGGAAGGCCTTACCTTTGTCAATTTTATTAAGGAAGGAGAGAAAGGACAGAAGAAGAGTGTGGAAGGAAGTGGCTAACTGGGAACAGCAACTGATTGGCAAATGTTGGTGGATCTGAAGCAGAAGTTACAATTCCCGCCACAGATTGCAGTAACAAACCAGAGACCTGACATCGTCATTTGGTCAGCCTCAACAAAACAGGCAATCCTGCTGGAACTAACCGTGCCATGGGAAGAACGAATAGAAGATGCCAACGAAAGAAAGAGATTGAAGTATCAAGACCTACTTGCAGAATGTAGAGACAATGGATAGAGGGTTTGGTTATTTCCAGTGGAAGTGGGAAGCAGAGGGTTTGTTGGACAGTCTATGTGGAGGGCATTAAGAGCACTTGGTATTGTTGGAGGGGAAAGAAGTAAGCTGATTGGTATCTTGTGCAAAGAGGCAGAGACATCACCAATATGGTTGTGGAGGAAAAGGTCTGAGCAGTGGAAGCAGTAAAGTGTAGAGGCAGGGATGGATAGCCATGTGGTTTCGGGCTGGGACTTGATCACCCCAGTCGGCGCACCTCTGGAGGTTGTAGTGGACAGCGCCGAAACAGCCAAGGAAGGAGGATTCACCTGAAGACAGAACCACGCATCTTTCCAACAGGATGTATTAAGGTAATTATAATAATCATCTTCTCAGGATCACAAGAAAAAATTTCACAATTTCATGAATATCACATTAAGAAGAAAACATCTCTTTCATTTACTGTTGGCCCTATCACAATACCAATGGAAAACTTTTTCATGTTGTAGTTAACTTAAAAACAAGTAAATTTTTCATGTTGTAGTTAACTTAAAAACAAGTAAAAAGTTTAAGCCAATTGCTGTAAAAAATACAATCTCATCAAAATCAGATCTATCTCATTGCTTCGTGAGATTTGTCTGTCATAAGTGTAAGATTTGAAGACATCCCATAAAGAAACAAGTTTCTGCAAAAATTTTATCAACCAATTATTTTGTGTGACACACTTTTCCTCCCAAACATGGATAAAAGGTGTTCTAGTCCAAAATTTCAGTTATGTTGAAAAAAATTTTCGTCAACTTTTAATTTCTAAAACATGATTAAATCAAAGAAGCTTCATTGTTTTGTTAGATTGTGGAATTAAACAATCAGGAAGGAGAATTAAATCAGAATCACATCACAAAATTTTCTAGTTAGAGCATCAAATTCTGGAATATTTAGGAAATAATTTGCAGTTTACCTGACAAAATTTGTGTAGGTCTTTAGTAAAATATATCAAAACTTTTTTTTTTTACATAGGGTAAGATTAGTTTGCATGCTAAAAGGGGTTTACTCCTGGTTTGCCCACATTTAATTATACCTAAAAGGTCACTGAAGATGACCCCTAATGAAATGTCTTTTGATCTTACACTAGCGACAAAAAAATCTAACAAAGCAAATATAAAGATTTGATTTTAACCCTTTCACCGATAGCTGCCCAGACAGAAGCTACTCTGAGACGATGGCTTCCCTGGCTACTATTACTCAAGTGGGAGATCTTCATAATAAATATCAATAAAAACTTGTCTGTAGTTATTTGTGTCTTTATTAAATTCACTAACACCATGTTCACAGTTTTGTTCATGTTTTGATAATTTTTCTTCATAAAATATTCAAATTTTCAAATTTTCGGCATTATCTAGGTGAATTCTCAAAATTCTGCTCTTAGACTCAAAATCGTAATTTTTTAACCCAAAACGGCAAAATTTTGAAAAATTTAATGAGGCTGTACAAATTCCTTACACTGAACGATGTCCATTCCAAGTGTTTTGTACATAAAACTACATTTTATGTCAAAAAGGTATACTAGTTTGGCTTCAATTCTTCCATATTCTTTCAAAAAAAATGTTCCCTCATTTCAAATTCTCGTAAATTCCGTAAATTTCCTCTGATTTTAACACGGTTTTCAACAAACGGACGCGCCATGTTTACACTTTTATCCGGGTATTCAACAAAGAAAGTTTGCACTGTTTTGAGCGGGAAATATAAAAGAGGTATTCCAATCCCGGTAAAACGGGACTCATCGTCAGCTGTCTGAAGCGTGAATCCCGGTAAACCGGGACTCATCGGCGAAAGGGTTAATGAAATTGATGAAAAGCTAAGGATGCAAAGGCAGGAAACCACTCACATACTGCATTACCATGTATAAGCTGAATATCTCTAAAATCACCTCAGAAATCAATATCTGCATAAAATCTCTAGTCATTGACAACATTAAGTGACGAAAAAAACATGTGGTGGCCCTTTCTGACATTTGAGCTTAAATCTAGTACACACCACACCTTTGTTTATTATTGGAAAAGGTAAATGGGCATTAGAATTTTTTCTACAGGAATAAACTACAGCATGAGGAAATAAGTGTACCTTTCAGATCAATAGTAGCTTCCATATCACAAACAAGCTGGGGAATCTCTGTATTGTCAAATACTTTCACGTTGGGAAAGCAGTCAGATTTATCGTTAAGACAGACTTTTACAGATAAATCAAGAATGAACTTCTTCAAATTTGGTGGCTTCTTAACAGAAAACCTGTAAAATACATAAAATTATGGTAATACAAATATCTAAATAGAATAATTGAACAGAAAGCAACTAGTCATATTAAATCAAAAGAATAACTGAAAGCTTAAAGTAATTCTTTCCCTCTTTGGCTGAGTAACTTTAAGACATTGAATGAAAAGTGAAAATTCTTTCCAAGCAACTTTAGTATTTTGTTTCAAGCGAGTCAAATAACTGGTCAAAACAATATGGAAATGAGTAGGATATAAGAGGGTAAAATCTATCCCACATGATATAAATTGAGTTTCTTCTTAATCAAGAAATGTTATGCCAATTTCTAACCATTGATAAGCATCTTAAAAATGTGAGCAGTAAGAATCCAAAATGTTGATTATGAAGTACAAATGGTTTTAAAAATTGGGTAATTTAAACTGATAATAACAAAATGAAATGGTAATAATTCCACCATTTTAATTTGTGATATACCCATATATTTTTACTCACCAATTCACGCAAATGCAATACAAATTATAACCAGTTAACTAAGTCTCATCTCTTTCAACACTTACTCAAATACAATGACATCATTAGCTAAGGATATTCTTTCAGTCTTTCCTGAAAATATAGAATAACTTGTTAAGTTAAGACTTAACTGTGACCATATAAATTAACCTTTCTTTGCACTGCACTTTACATTATTAACCCTGGTCATTTATCCTTGAGGTCAAAACACCCATTCTTCTATCTATATGTCTTTGTAGACTCTGACTAATTATCATTATTCCTAAATGAAATTTTATGTTGATGGCAAATCATTGATAGTTTCAAATTTATTTAAATTTTCCAAGGTCAGGGGGTGCTCAAACATGTTTAACCCCACAATCTGTATGTGTCTGCCCCAAGTCAGGAGTCTGTTGTCGTTTGCTGCTGTATATCATATTTGTTCTTTGTTAATTGTTTTGCATTTGTCATTTTGGGGCTTTTTATAGCTTGCTGTGCTGTATGAGATTTGCTCATTATAGTAGGTCATACAGTGACCTATAGTTGCTAACTTCTAATTCATTTGGTCTTTGGTGGAAAGTTGTCTCATTGGCAAGTATATCTCTTCTTCTCATCCTTATAAGTGTGCCAAATATAAACTGGTAATCTTTTAAATTGCTTGTTTTTAAATACAAAGAACAATCAAGATAAATGTTTGTAGTGCAATGTATTACACCTTAAGAAAGAATTTCATTTTGTATACTATGTCCTTTGTTTTCTATTTAATTTTTAAACAAGAATGTGTCCATAGTACATGGATGCCCCACTCGCACTATCATTTTCTATGTTCAGTGGACTGTGAAATTGGGGTCAAAACTCTAATTCGGCATTAAAATTAAAAAAATCATAGCATAGGGAACATGTGTACTAAGTTTCAAGTTGATTGGACTTCAACTTCAGCAAAAACTACCTTGACCAAAAACTTTAACCTGAAGCGGGATAGACAGACGGACGGACAGACAAACAAACGGACGCACAGACCAGAAAACATAATGCCCCTTCTACTATCGTAGGTGGGGCATAAAAAAACATCAAGAGAATTTACTAAACATTATCTGTAACCACATACCCCATTCATAGTCAAACAGTGACTTCGTCACATTTTGTGTATTGATTCCATATGATATCTTGTAGTCACAAGGATCCAACACAAAGAATGGCCTAACTGTCAGTCCAAAGAAAGGAATATTGGCACAGCAATCAATTCCAGTGCAGGATTCTGTAATGTGGCATGCTATTTGGTCTCCCAAATCTGGACGATTAAACATACTCAGGGGACATTCTGTATAAAATATAGCAATCATAAATGTATCTCAAGTTGCAAAATCACACCATTTGAATACAAGGAGATGTGTGGTGTACTTCAATGAAATAGCAACCACAAACAAAAAACATAAAGACATCAAGAACTTTAAAAAAGAAAGAAATATACATGTATTTATTAATAGTTCCGAAGCACATTTATTTGTTTTGTTAAAACAGTTGTCTGTAGTTTATATCAACATGGATATAGTTTTTGGCTTTCTTTGGATGTGATTGTCATATTGAAGGTATAAATCTTTGAAAAATTTGGCTTAAATTTGTGCTTGCTGTTTTATATAAAGTACAAATGTATATCCAATTAAAATGTCAATTGTTCTTGAACAATTGAGAGGTCTTTCCTTTTGTAATGTAAAATACATGTTCCAATAGACGTAGAATGTATTGAAAAGTTCTAAAACACACAAAAAACTGTTAAAATATGATAAAAATCAACAAATTCGCTTTTTAGGAGATGACCTTGACTTTTGACCTTGTGACCTTTGTGAAGGTCATCGGTCCACAATGTCATTGTAAAACACCCCATGGGTCTAGAAACTTTGGTTCAAGAGTTAAAACTAATTTTACCTTTTCAGAAACCGTTAATGGGGGTTATGCCCCTTAAAAATATGTCAAATCTCTTCGGTCAAAATATAAAAAAGTTGTGCCTCAGTCACCTAAACATTTTTCACTGTTTACTATTTCTGTAAGATTAACTGTTTTTGAGATATCGACTAAAAAGTTGAAAGGTCAAAGGTCAAGGTCAACCTTAAAAACACACTAAAAATCATTTAAATAAGGTCAGAAACACATAATTCGCTATCTGGGACATGACCTTGACCTTTGACCTTGTAACCTTTGTCAAGGTCATTAGTCACCAATGCCATTGCTGAAGACCCCATGGGTCTAGGACCTTTGGTTATATAGTAAAAGCTGATTTTGTCTTTCCAGAAACCTAAAACAGGGGTTATGCCCCTTACAGAAAGGTCAAATCTCTTCGGTCAAAATGTAACGAAGTTGCGCATTCATGACCCACACATTTTCCACTATTCATCACTATTGTAAGTATTAAGGTTTCTTAGATTATCCCATAACAAGGTGTTAGGTCAAAGGTCAAAGTCAACATACAAATTTTACCTTGAGGAATTTTTCAAAGTCACATGAATTGATAATGATTGATGAAGATCCTAGGTGTCTACGACTTACGGTTTCTGAGTTTTGGTGGCCAACCGACACTAGTTAATTTTTATAGGGGCATAACCCTACCAATGAGTCGTTGAATCTTTTCGATCCAAATGTAACGAATAACCGGGGTCTGGTCCTGAACAAATTTCACCATTGGTTTTTTTTCTACCTATTACGGTTACGGTGTTGGAACGATAACAAGGTTTTTTGGTTTTGGAGGGATTACTCCGAACAGACAAAATTTTTCGACTCAAAGGAAGAGTTCCGGATAGGTATTCATGACACCGATATAAAGTGTGAACATGAATTCGACACGTCTTATGGTTAATGCTGCTAACTTCGTCAAAGTTTGGCGGTAAGAATAATAATAATAATTAAAATGTCAATTGTTCTTGAACAATTGAGAGGTCTTTCCTTTTCATTATATAAAATATATGTTTCAATAGGCGTAGAATGCATTGAAAAGCTCTAAAACACACACAAAACCCTTAAAATATGGTCAAAAACACATAATTCGGAATTTGGGACATGACCTTGACTTTTGACCTTATGACCTTTGTCATTGGTCCATGATGTCATAACAAAAGACCCCATGGGTCTAGGACCGTTGGTTCATGAGTTAAAGCTTATTTTGTCTTTTCTAAAACAGTTAACAGGGTTTATGCCCCTTACAGATAGGTCAAATCTCTTCGGTCAAAATGTAAAAAAGTTGCGCCTTTAAGTCCCAATTATTTTTCACTATTTACTGTTTCTGTAAGTATTATCGTTTTTGAGATATCCAATAAATAAGTTTTATGGTCAAAGGTCAAGGTCAACCTCAAAAAGCTTTAAAACACACTAAAAATCCTTCAGATAAGGTCAAAAACACTTAATTCGCTATCTGGGACATGACCTTGACCTTTGACCTTGTGACCTTTGTCAAGGTCATTGGTCTCTTATGTCATTGCTGAAGACCCTAGGGGTCTAGGACCTTTGGTTCAATAGTTAAAGCTGATTTTGTCTTTTCAGAAACAGTTAACGGGGGTTATGCCCCTTACGGATAGGTCAAATCTCTTTGGTAATTATTTAAAAAAGTTGCGCCTTAATGTCCCAAAGATTTTTCACTATTTACTATTTCTGTAATTATTAGCGTTTTTGAGATATCCAATAAAAAAGTTTTAAGGTCAAAGGTCAAGGTCAACCTCAAAAAGCTTCAAAACACACAAAAAATCCTTTAGATAAGGTCAAAAACACTTAATTCGCTAGCTGGGACATGACTTTGTGACCTTCGTCAAGGTCATTGGTCCACGATGTCATTATAGAAGACCTAATGGGTCTAGGACCTTTGGTTCATGAGTTAAAGCTAATTTTGTCTTTTCTGAAACAGTTAACAGGGGTTATGACCCTTACATATAGGTCAAATCTCTTCGGTCAAAATGTCAAAAAGTTGTGCCTTAATGCCCTAAACATATTTCACTAATTACTATTTTTGTAAGTATAATCGTTTTTGAGATATCGAATAAAAAGTTGTAAGGTCAAAGGTCAAGGTCAACCTTAAAAACCTTTAAACCACACTTTTAATCCTTTAAATAAGGTCAAAAACACTTAATTCGTTATCTGGGACATGACCTTGACCTTTGACCTTGTGAATTTTGTAAAGGCCATTGGTCCCAAATGTCATTGTTGAAGACCCCATGGATCTAGGACCTTTGGTTATATAGTAAAAGCTGATTTTGTCTTTTCAGAAACCTAAAACAGGGGTTATGCCCCTTACAGAAATGTCAAATCTCTTCGGTTAAAATGTAACAAAGTTGCGCCTTAATGACCCAAACATTTTCCACTATTCAAAACTTCTGTAAGTATAATGGTTTCTGAGATTATCCCATAACAAGGTGTAAGGTCAAAGGTCAAGGTCAACATACAAATTTGACCTTGAGGCATTTTCAAAGTCACATGAATTGATGATCATTGGTGAAGATCCTAGGTGGCTACGACATACGGTTTCTGAGTTTTGGTGGCCAACCGACACCGGTTAGTTTTCAAAGGGGCATAACCCTGCCAATGAGTCATTGAATCTTTTCGATCCAAATGTAATGAAGAACCGGGGTCTGGTCTTGAACAAATTTCACCCTTTGCTTTTTTTCTACCTATTACGGTTACGGTGTTTGAATGATAACAAGGTTTTTAGGTTTCGGAGGGATAACTCCGGACCAACAAAATTTTACGACTCACAGGGTGAGTTCCAGATAGGTATTTGTGACACCGATACAAAGTGTGAACCTGAAAGCGACATGGCTTATGGTTACGGAGGGAAATTTTGTCAAAGTTTGGCAGAACAAAAAGAATAATAATTAAAATGTCAATTGTTCTTGAACAATTGAGAGGTCTTTCCTTTTCGTAATGTAAAATATATGTTTCAATAGACGTAGAATGCATTGAAAAGATAAAAAAAAACACATAAAACCCTTAAAATATGACAAAAAACACATAATCCGCTATATGCAAAATGACCTTGAATTTTGACCTTTGTCAAGGTCATTGGTCCACAATGTCAGTATAGACCCTTTGGTTCAAGAGTAAAGGCTAATTTTGTCTTTTCAGAAACAGTTAATAGGGGTTATGCCCCTTACGGATAGGTCAAATCTCTTCAGTCAAAATGTAAAAAAGTTGCGGCTTTATGACCCAAACATTTTTCACTATTTACTATTTCTGTAAGATTAACCGTTTTTGAGATATCCAATAAAAAGTTGTAAGGTCAAAGGTCAAGGTCAACCTTAAAAAGCTTTAAAAGACACTAAAAATCCCTTAAATAAGGTCAAAAACACATAATTCGCTATCTGTGACATGACCTTGACCTTTGACCCTGTGACCTTTGTCAAGGTCATTGGTCCCAAATGTCAATGTTGAAGACCCGATGGATCTAGGACCTTTGGTTATATAGTAAAAGTTGATTTTGTCTTTTCACAAACCTAAAACAGGGGTTATGCCCCTTACAGAAAGGTCAAATCTCTTCGGTCAAAATGTAAAAAAGTTGCGGCTTTATGACCCAAACATTTTTCACTATTTACTATTTCTGTAAGATTAACCGTTTTTGAGATATCCAATAACAAGTTGTAAGGTCAAAGGTCAAGTTCAACCTTAAAAAGCTTTAAAAGACACTAAAAATCCCTTAAATAAGGTCAAAAACACATAATTCGCTATCTGTGACATGACCTTGACCTTTGACCCTGTGACCTTTGTCAAGGTCATTGGTCCCAAATGTCATTGTTGAAGACCCGATGGATCTAGGACCTTTGGTTATATAGTAAAAGTTGATTTTGTCTTTTCACAAACCTAAAACAGGGGTTATGCCCCTTACAGAAAGGTCAAATCTCTTCGGTCAAAATGTAAAAAAGTTGCGGCTTTATGACCCAAACATTTTTCACTATTTACTATTTCTGTAAGATTAACCGTTTTTGAGATATCCAATAAAAAGTTGTAAGATCAAAGGTCAAGGTCAACCTTAAAAAGCTTTAAAAGACACTTGAAATCCCTTAAATAAGGTCAAAAACACATAATTCGCTATCTGGGACATGACCTTGACCTTTGACCTTGTGACCTTTGTCAAGGTCATTGGTCCCAAATGTCATTGTTGAAGACCCCATAGATCTAGGACCTTTTGTTATATAGTAAAAGCTGATTTTGTCTTTTCAGAAACCTAAAACAGGGGTTATGCCCCTTACAGAAAGGTCAAATCTCTTCGGTCAAAATGTAACAAAGTTGCGCTTTAATAACCCAAACATTTTCCACTATTCAAAACTTCTGTAAGTATAATGGTTT